TAATAATATTTTAATGACCTGTGAAATGTGATACCCTTTGATCTTGTGTTCTTGTTGTCATGGTGTTGACAATTTATAGTAAAACATTGCATCCCTTTTTGATATTCCTTGCATGACTGTCTGCTGCATCTCATTTTTACGACCATCCATTGAGTTCCTGAGTCCAGACTCGATGCATTGGAATGGCACCTGTGTGGCGTGCCATCAGTCACGTCATGTCCAATCCAGTAATACAGATCAATAGTTTGGACATTTTATTAAGCTAGGTTTTGTGGAGTTATAAGTGCTTTTTATCTTACCGGCAGTAAAAAAAAATAAAAATAAAAAATCTTATCAGTTTAGAATATCAGGCAAAATTTTCAAGGGATTTTTTTCCAGGATTTTTGGAAATGTTTGTTTTTATAAATCCTTACATCACCTTTAGTTTTACATCGCATTGTTATTTACACCAAGTAACTTGCAGTTCAGCAATTCACTGAGTCATGGTGAAAAACTATCTAGGAAAGCATTAATAWGATCAAAAAGTAAGGCATAGTAAAAATATATAAATTTGCATTTGGGTGAACCAATATATTGTTTGTTTTTGTTTTTCATGCAATACCTTCGCTGTTTGTTTAAAAGGTTGTACTCTGCAGGATGTGTGGACTGCAGATGGCTCAAACTTCAGTGTAAAAAAAATCACACAAAAAACACTAATTTCCACATAAATAACTATTTTGTGTGAAAGTAACAATCATGTAAAGTTTTAGAAAATATGGTGTGCATGAACAGTAATGTTTTTAATTTGAAGTTGTTTTAAAATAGCTGCTTTGACTCTGCTAAGATTAGCTGTTAGATTTATATTTCAATCAGAACATTTCACAGATTCTTCAAACTAAGATGGCTCTACTGCTGTCTAAAGCAAGTAAGATACTGACTGCTGATAACACCTAAATCCTCCTCTTGAAAAAAATGTTTTTAAGTAGATCAGTCTTTGAGCTGTGCTTAAAAGATCAGTCTAAGAATAATGTCATGAATTGTATGAACTTATTTTCTGTCAGCTGTTTGCCGAGGCCTGTCTGAGGACGCTGTGCGTTGCGGTTCGATCTGTTCCTGAGGCATTATGGGAGCAGTGGAGTGAAACTCTTACTCAGACCGCTGCCATGGCGACATCCGAGCAAGACGTCATGCTGGAGAATCTGTATGATGAGATGGAGAGAGAGATGCTGGTGTGGCCTGCCTCAGTTTGCTAATTACTCATTTTCTATTTAAAAGACTGTTCATCTGTTGTTCTGAAGGAATGATAAGCCTGTAAATAAAACTTCTGGTTAAGAGATTCTGCCTTTCATTTTTCTCCAATTTTTTTTCCTGCAGACTTTTAAGAAAAATAATCCCCACTTTAAGGCGCTTTGTTTAATTTGCTGCATGATTAGCTTCATTCTGAGTTTCATTAAGGCTCATTTGACTTCTTTTACTTGTTTTTCAAGTCATACTTCAGTGAGAAAGTGAAATTAAACACTAAAACATCAATATTATTGCAGCTTCTGGGTGTGACAGCGATAGAGGACCGACTTCAGGAGGGAGTTCCTGAGACTATTGCTCTCCTTAAAGAGGCTGGGATTAAAGTATGGGTGCTGACTGGAGACAAAAAAGGTACTGTTACATGCTGTAATGGGAATGTTAGCAGTTGTGCATGAAATAAGAATTCAAGCTGATTTATTCCTTCTCCTCTGTGCTCTAAGAGACTGCAGTGAATATTGGATACTCTTGCAGACTGCTGGATCCTGAAACCAGACTACTGGACTGGCAGGAGCTGAGGTTTGCAGCATCAAGAAAAGAAAAAAAAAATCTAACGCTCCCATACACACGTTCACTAAACCCCTATTGATCATTGTTTGTTTGTTTGTTTGTTGGCTGCAGACAGATACTCCAGTCCCCAGACCCACAGGTCAGCTTCACCAAAGCTCAGTGCACAGAGCTGTGGGCCGAACACAAAACCATCCCAAGAGCTAAAACCTCTGTGGTTCTCACTGGATCTGAGCTGGTAAACAGCAGTCTGCACACTGAATGGATAACATTTCAACATGGACTTCTGGCTCATATAAGCCTCTTGTGATTCTTTTATAAAAAAAAAACATGTGTGTTGTTTATAGAAGTGTAAAAAAACAAAGTACGAATAGTCACTTTGGTTATTTGTACAGTACTTTACTGGAGTGATTACTTTTTCTTACATTTTCACAAATTACCTGTACTTTCTGGGAAAGTCGTTCTTGTTTCATTCTGGCTTATTATTGTTCCTAAAAATTAAAGCAGCTTTATCACACCTAAATATTGTTGTATTAAAAGTATGAATATATTCTATTCTGACACCCTATTGGCAGAGGTGTAAATGAACTATAGTAAATATATACTTACAGCATATCTTTGGAAATCATAATATCAGGATGATTCAGGTTTTAAAATGTAGCTTAAAAGCAGGAATCTGAAAATGTGCTRAGGTCATTTTGACCAAATTTGACTTTATCCTCAGTTTGATGTGATGGGTCACATATACGGTACAAACCAGATGACCTTTGACCCTTTGGGCAGCATCAATGTCAGAAAGCCTGGTTGGTGTATGGTGTTGATTAAGGCGTTTTGAAGAGATGTTTGCTTCAGTAAAGACAAGATCTGCACAACCAACACATTTTAAAGCGTCTGTGACATGCTTACCTTTAAATACTGGTAACGCTTTCTTTTACGGGACCCTTATTACCATGTCATTACAAGGTAATAAAAATGTAATTAACTGTAATTACTACCTTATTACCATGTAATTACGTGGTAATTAGGGTACAATTGTACTATGTAATGAATTGTCTGCAGTAATGTAGCACTTACCTGGTAATGTATTACAATTCACTATGTAACACCTGAATAAGTAGTAGATAATTTGGACAGTTTTAAAGTTATATTTTACTGCAAATATTTATTTATTTATTATTTTAACCACTAACCTCAAAATTTAGTTGTATTCTTTTGGTTGTAAATATAGTGTTGAGTGACTATTGAATAGTAAGTTGATTGTAGTTACCCAATAAAGGTAGTTTTACTAACAGTAGTTTTTCTTTTGTACCATAATTACCATGTAATTACATAGTAATAAGGTAGTAATTACATTTAATTACTTTTTATTACCTTGTAATTACATGGTAAAAAGGGTACCATAAATAAAGTGTTACCTAAATACTAAAAGTCGAAGAAAACATCTTTATATTTAAGAAACTCATACACAAGTTTTTACCCATTTTGTCATATAACTGGCAGATTTTCTTTTGAACTTGGCCTAGMCAAAGTGAAACAGGAAGTGACATCAAAGAGGAACTCATTAAGAAAGTGAAATCTGATCTTTATTCAAATAATATTATTTGAAATCTGACTCTTCTTCATCTCTCTCTGATAGTTATTAAAAATGATCTAAAGAAACATCAGATTATTCTCCACAGTTTATGTTGTTAGCACTTGTACATTCCCCTTTGACATCACTTCCTGTTACTTCACATGCAAATATCTCAATAACTGTTCATCTCAGCAACGTGATTTTTTTTCTGTAATATGTTATTAGTGTTACCTTTCCAAAAGTGTATTTAGATTTACTATAAAAGTTTGACATCACAGGCACTTTAAGTCAAGTGTCTGGTTGTTTTGTTTTTGTTTTTACCCCAGGCAGAGCTTGACCATAGACCAGACTGGGGGGCCTCCTTCATGAGCCTGGCTGAGCAGTGTGAATCAGTGCTGTGCTGCAGAGTGACTCCCTCACAGAAGGCTGAAATCGTCACACTGGTCAGGAAACATATCAAATCAATCACYATGTCCATCGGCGATGGTGCCAATGACGTCAACATGATCAAGAGTGAGTCAGGTGAAACTAAAAGCTCATTCAAGTCGTTCATTGTTGTGGTCAAATTTCCCCCCTCCTTCTGCTTGACCAAACCAGCGGCTCACGTTGGAGTGGGACTGGCCGGAGTGGAGGGAGGCCAGGCGGTCCAGAACGCAGACTTTGCCGTGTCACAGTTCAGGTTTCTACAGAGGCTGCTGCTAGTCCACGGCCGCTGGTCCTACCGCCGCATTTCCACCTTCCTGTGCTACTTCCTGTTCAAGACGTGTAGCTTTGCTCTGGTGCACGTATGGTTTGGTTTCTTCAATGGCTTCAGTGCTCAGGTTAGGGGGAAAAAACTCTCCATCTGAATGAAATAAAGCCTTAAACATTCTTATTTTTTGATTTTGTTTTCCWCTTACAGTCTCTGTATGAGACATGGTTCATCGCTCTCTACACTGTCATGTACACCGCAGCCCCAGTAATGTGCGTAGCCCTTTTTGAACAGGTCAGTTAATATATAATGTTTTATTAACCAAGTGATCAGACACAAATAAAAAAAAACCTTTATGATGAAAGCTGCTTGTTTGTRAAACAGGACGTGAGTGGAGAAAGCAGTCTGAAGTCACCTGAGCTGTATAAATCCGAACTGAAACCAAAACTCTCCATTTTTATGAAGCTGGTTTTCTATCTCCTGTATGCCGTCTACACATCGCTTGTTCTCTTCTTCATCCCGTTTGGAGTTTTCTACAACACAGCTTCAGACTTMCAGACCATGGCGGTCACTGTCTCCATGGCAGCCACCTTCACAGCCACAATTCAGGTCAGGATCATGATTTTTTTTTAAACAAGTAAAAGGAAATCACAATGACGTGTGCCTTAAAATCAAGAGTAACTAACATGGAAATAATAAGAATGTAGCAGAATTATTGTGACTCAAAAATGCATAACCAGAGGGCTGCTGGTTTGATCCCCCATTCCAGCTGTCTCAGGCGTTGTGTCACCCGCCTTGCCTACTGATGGTGGTCAGAGGGTCTGGTAGCCCCACCTCTGTCAGTGTGCCCCAGGACAGCTGTGACTACAGTGTAGCTGACCATCATCAGTGTGTGAATGGATAAATGACCGTAGCGTGGTGATGCATTCACACCAAACACATTTTGAGCGACAGGTTTACATGCAAAGTCTATGGTGGACGCACGTCGGGAAGTGCTGCGATGTGTTTGACGTGCATTTTGCTCGTCGAACAAGTTGGAAAAATCAGAACTTTTTCAGCTCGACGCGGCACGTCATCCAATCAGAGAGACTCCACTATGTGATGTAGTGACACATTTTTCCGATGATGCCTAAATGATGTCCTGAGACAGGTGCACAGGAGCTCTTTAGCTGAAATTGAGTGCTTGTAGTCGTTGTCCTGACAGGAGATGCGGGCACCGATGCGGGTCAGCGGCTCATCAAACTGGGCTTGGGMCAAAAATAGAGCTGAAAGCGCGACATGCTCTTGCTCTCAGTAAATAAAGCAAAGTCACTTTCTTAGAGGAAGAAAACAACCAAGAGGCTCTCAACGTGCGTCGAGAGCAATTTTGACGAGCGTCTGACCTAAAAGTGCACAAGCGTCCAACCTGAGGCGTTGGGCACGTTTTTGACGCTCAAATCGCGTTCCATGTGAACGCAGCATGAAACGMTTTAGGGTCCCCAGGGGGCTTGATAAAATGCTATATAAGTTCAGTCCATTTACCACTCTAAATTAAACAATGACTAACCAACTAACCCATGCTCCACCATGTTGTGCACTACATTTGTCAAAGCAGTTCTGTTGGCAAATATTTCAAATATATCAGTTGAATTTAATGGAAGAYGTTTAAACAAAACATCTCACTTTCAATCTTCTAAAGGAGGTAATAGTTTAGTTATGCCCCCTTTCCACTAGCGCCTCTATAGCACGGTTTGACTTGGCTCTCCACTAGCAAGGATTTGTGGAACCAAAACCTTTTTCAGAACATACTTCATTGTGGTTCCAAGTGTACCATGCTGGCCTGAAAACGCCACGTCCAAAGACTGTTGTCACTGATTGGTTAGGGGGTGGAGTCACTGGTTGCATCGCAAGAGCTACTCTTACAACAACCCGATCTGCCAATTGCAATAGCAATGCCATCTTCCATTGTTGTGTTGTGTATCTTTTCACAAAAAAACACACACACAAAATCTAAACTTTAAAGACAAGAGGATTTAAATAAGTCACTTTCTTGCTGTGGGGTAACAGTGCTAGGACTTAACATCAGACCCTGGTTTATTTTGTTTTAAAGTTTTTATTATTATTATTTGGTTAATTTGTAACGTTTAGCCAAACTTTTTTCCGATTTTTTCTGCTTTGATCAAAACTCAATCCATCATGGTTTGTTGTGCTCCAAAGACTGCTGTTCTGAAACATTTGAACTTTGTGCTCAGCAAATATCAGTGTTAAATTAAAACTATTGGTGTTGATTTTACACTAAACAATGTTAAATTAACAYTGGTTAGTGTTATGTTTCCTCCTTAAAGGCTCCCAAACTCTGCAACACTTTTCCAGCTGCCCTAMAACTAGACAGAAATTAACATTTTATTAGAGCCCCAAAGCAATGGCTTCAGTCTAGGCAAAGCTGCTCACATTTATTTGGCAACTAATTAGTTTAATCTATAACAGGTGAGTAAATAGACGGAGTCTGAAACGAGCATTTTAGAGAGGCTGAATCTCTCAAAAATAAAGATGGGAAGAGGATTATATTCTGTTGTGAACAAAATATGAGCCTAGAATTTTTTTTTTTACATTTAATGACCCAACATTTTTAGAACTACTCAATTTAAAAACTGCCTCTAATACCTAAAAAATCGATTCCCCCTAATAATATGTTTTACTCATTTTCTTCTGCTGATGGTATTTGTGTTTTTCAGATTATACTTCTGACTAAATATTGGACAAAGTACAATATCGCAGCTGTGATCGTGTCTGTGATAATGTTCTTTATCTGCACCAGAATCACCCACAAYGCACGCCTCTTTGAGAAATCACCCATGGACTATGTTTTTATTGGTACGTTCCTAATCTGTTCAGAGCATTTGATTTCTTTATTCACTTTAATTGTCATCATATGAGTAAAATTTTCMCAAACTGAGACCATTATAAATTAAACCCATAATAAACTGTTTCTCTCTAATCTGATTTCATGGTAAATGTGCAGAGCTTTGATTGCTGTGTTTCTCTCTGACCAGGGGCGTCGGACAATGCCTTCGCTGATCCAGTTGTGTGGCTCACAGCTTTTCTCACCACCTGGACGGCTTTTCTCCCCTCGTTCACTGTCCACGCCCTCAACGTCATTCTGTCTGKTCGTGACAAACACAAGGCAAGTCCTCAGTGTGCATTTTGTGAAACTACAAAGAAAACTATTTATCTGAGAAAARCCTCTGTGACGCTGATTTGCCAAAAAGAATTGAGCAATTTCTTTTACCCTGAATTCAATTTTCTTTTATTTCCTCCATCAAAAGTTTTTAAAAAGATAAAAGATAAATTTCTAATGAACTAAAACACACACACACACACACACACACACACACACACATATATATATATAAATGATTTTTTTACAGTTTTTACCAAATTATTGAATACTTTTTTTTGCTGCTTTCTTCTTCTTTCTGCTATTCCCTCATCAGGGGTCTCCAGAGACATCCTCCACCTCACTCTGTCTTCTGTTTCCTCTGTCCTTCCTCCAACTACCCCCATGTCCTCTCTGCATCCGTTTATCTGCATTTTGTCTTTTTTCTCCCAGCTGTGTCTCTAGCATCTTTCTACCAACTGTCCCTTCTCTGGACATGTCCAAACCAATATACCCACTGTCCCTCCTTAAGACGTGTCTAAACCAATATACCAATTGTGCCTCCTCTGGATGTGTCCAAACAAATAATTAAACCGATTTCCTCATCCACAGTTTATATGACAGATACTTTTAATACTAACATACTTTAAAAAAAAATAACATATTTATTTTTTWATATGTAATAAATGTACTGGTGAGAAGTAATTTATATACCATATTAATCTGTTTATCAAAGAGGTTTTTTTCATGTTTTTGGTGTTATCTTGTTTGCTGTGCTGTAGGTCCACACATCCTTCCCTCAACCTATTGAGTTGAAGTCGAGGTTCAAAAGACAAAMCTCTCTCCGCCGCTCTTCTTACGCCATCTCTCAGGGAACCAGACCTGGACGCCTCATCAGCTCAGCCACTTCCATCCGCAGGAAAGAGCTGTCCCAGGACGAGAAAGCTGTTATAAGTAATAAGCCCAGTGATACAAAATTGTAATKATTAAGCTTTAGGAGCTTTGAAGACATTTGTCACAGACTGGAACAGATGGGAATGTTTGCCTCACTCAAACCAGTTGAGCTGACAAAAATTACAATTATGTCATAAGTTATTTTAGGTCTRATGACCGATTGAGGAGCTTGATTGAGAAAGAAAGTTTGATTCAAGGAAACAGTYTTTAACACGTTCTATGTTTAGGCTGCAAGGCTGCAGAGGGTCCCTGAATAACCACATAATCTTGGTCAGATAAGGAGAATCAGATCACATCGGCCTCAAGCAGAAAAGGAAACCGTGCACAAGTGTATTCATGCAAGAATATCCACTTATGCATGCAGTGTTTTTARAAAATGTATGTTTAATTAAAAAAATAAGCCTTCACGCTAATTGTTCCAAAAACAAAGATTACATTTTGTATATTTGTGTTTAAATGAGACTTATCATACAAGATCCACTTTTTTAGCCATTAATAACATTTTGTACTTGGAGTCTCTAGGAGTGCAGAAAAGTTGGATTTAGTCTCTCCCTCTGCTGCAGAGGTGTAAGTCTGAAGAAATTTATTCTGTTTATTACTGATTTTTAAATGCATTACCAATACTGTTTTATTTCCTAGGAGATCTGTTTCAATAATCTATTTTCATAATTATCTATTTATATGATTAAACTGTGATTTAGTTGAAGCGTAATCAGGTTTGAGTGACATCATGATCAGCGCAAACAGAATGTACTTTCTTGATATGATTAGTTAATACATGTCTTAAGGGATCCCCTATTAGTCGTAACATTAGACTTTATTTGATAAACATATACAGTATTTTAACCGTAAAATAAAGACTGTAAAAATACTGTAGGATGTTTAGTTTTGTAAATTTTTAAAATATATTTATTTTAACATGGACAAAGCAATTTTATTCACACGCAAAGCATTCTGGGTAAATGATGACGTGGATAGGTCCTCCGTGTGAGCGAGCT